ATGGTTGTATAAACTACAGTTAGAAGATTAATCAAATAAGAAAGTTCTTCCTTTCACCCTTTTCTTGTATCCCATCTTTAGAATCCCCAACACAGTATTAAGCAAGCTAAAAATCCTCATTAGCTGCACAGAACTAAATTGTACTCTGACATACATCAATATCCTGGAAAAAAATGTTTCTCAGCTTGACAACACCATGTTTCACCTAGGACAAGCTGCTTGAAAACTATCTGTGCCAAGACGAATATACAAAATGGAATCAACATAGTGAAATTAGATAAGAGACAAAATTGAGACTCCAAACAATTCATAGTAGCAATTTATTTCATGCATCCACACCAATGCTTTCTGCACCAAGGCGGGAAAATTGAACATTCGGTTTTCTCCACGGTGAGCAAACATGTACAGAAGATCATACTACAAAGTACAATATTGTGAGCAACTTATTCCAGAAATTACCTTAGATCTGCACTTATTCATAATGTCGATAAACTCATTTCTTCCTATGCCAGTAAGTCGTAAGGCATCTGCAGCACTAAAATTTGGGATGCTGTCATATGGTTGTTCTGCAGATAGAAGAAAGAAAGAGACTGAGCAAACGTATAATGAAAGTATCAAGATAAAGCAATGCCACAGAAGGGAAAAGGAAAAAGAGGAAAAATTAGATATTAAGCATGATAATTGTGCAGCTTATTTGGAAAATAATTAAGCATAAGTATGAAAAATGCCAAGAAATCTCATGCTAAGCATTCCTTATTGCGTTGCTTGAGAGTGTTAAGCAGTCTCTTAGCAAAGTATGAATAAAATTATTCCCAGTACATTACCAGTCTCTCATTATTGCGTTGCTTGAGAGTGTTAAGCAGTCTCTCAGCAAAGTATGTATAAAATTATTCCCAGTACATTAACAGGTAACACAAAAGATCATAGTCAGGCATCAAAACAATATCAAGAGGTACAATATGATGGTTAACTCTCAAATATCACCAACCTGATAGTTTGCTAACTACATCTGAAAGCAGGTGATCTGGTTATATGTGGCCACCAAAGATATCCTATTGGTTCACTAGGCATATAAGCAAGTACAGGTAGCAGTAACAGTTCATGTTTTGACTACTTCGAACGCTAATGATAAGTATTGTAGTCCACAAAGAATAACAATACCAACAGTAAAAGTTCAACATAAATATCTAATTTAACAAATGCTCAAAACCATGCTACTAAAAGCCAGTAATAAGCTGAAATTAAAAGAGATACCCAAAAAAAAAAAATCTAGATTGGACGCGCAGATTGATACTGAGCACTCTTAAAAACTAACATTCATGTAAAACAGATTTTAATTCAAGTTAGAGAACATCAAGCTGACTACCTCCAAGGAAGAGAACTGGCAATCAAGGAGACTAAACCTTGCATTACAGTTTCAATATTCAGTTCCCACCAGATGCACTTTCAGTTCAGCGCTAAGTTTATATCCAACTCATAACTTGTTAAAACAACTACATTGAACAACTACCATGGGCTCAATATCTAATAGCAATGATATAAGGTTATTGAAACAGGATTCTAGTGGGTAGTACCGTTTCTCATGACTTCAAATATAATCTCACAGTAGTATCTGAAAGGTGACAGCCTCATTACACGGCAAATGTACTCTGCAAGGTGATAGGGAAACAACTGCAAATACAACATGAACAGCTTAATTTTAAGACTTACAGGAAAAAAAAAAGCAGCAAATTGTGAACTCAAAATTTGTAGTATACAGAAAATTTTCCTTTATTCTACTACTAAGAATATTTTTCAACGCTGATAAATAGCGATGTATTCCTTCACATCACAAGGTCAGTTGTAAAGTTTCTAATGCAGTATCCACAGTCCCAGCTAAATATTACTTAGTGTACTAATAACTTAAACAAAAGTTCAATTGCATAAGACCTATTATCTAAATGAAATATTCCAAGGTAATTGACATCTCTTGAGAATCAATCCTAAATTCGAAAATTCTCGCATAGCACTACAACTGGGGATTGTGATAATCTTTTAGATCAACAGTGCAATATGAACCACACATCCCAAAATTGACATGACAGCCTTTAACAAATATGACTCTAAACTTTAAAAAAGTACACTTTCATAATTTTCTGCAAGCTATTCTCACGACTAAATTATGTGCTCTTACTAATGCTTGTTTATTTACTTAGACAAGCTATTTTATCACCCAAGATCACTTTGTGATAGACAATTAAATGTACAATAAATAGCTAAATGTTAATGGCTTTATCTTATCGCAAAGAACTGAAGAATATCCTTCATCATACACACCGCTAGATTCCTTCTCAGATAGCGCATCATTTCTTCATAGTATTCACCTTCTTTACAAACTTTCCGAGCAAAACAAGTATTCCATGGGAGCCTTTTCTTAATGCAGTGATCAATTACCCTGCAGAAAGCAAAACGATAACATAAAAAAAAAAGAAAAAATAATTCATTTAAGCATGTGATGGGAAGGGAAAAAACAAAACATGGGTCAAAATATTTGTATCCTGCAACTTTTTATTATCCAACAGATGCCAAACATCAACCAAGTTATTAAACATGTGTTAGAAAGTCATGCCCCCAGCTGAGACAAAAATTTTCAGAAATTTTTTTCCGAGAATAAATGTTAGTGCCATAAATTTAAGGTCATGTTCTCAGCATCTCCTCTTTTGAAATTAAAAAGATAACTTTGAAAATATATTGAACAATTTTAAAAAACTTGTTTTGGTTTTGCTCTTTGTGTTTGAAAGCTAAAAGCTGTTACTAAAAGCAACTCTAAGGCCTGCTCCAGTATTTTTCCCTTTCAAAAAATCTGCTGTTAGCATATCACAAGCTGTCGAGAACAATATCTAAGTTGGCTAAGTATCCTTGAGCATGTTCTCTACTTATTACCAACAAGAATCTTCTTAAGCTGAAGAAGTCCATGTAAAACACACAACGTAAAAAGCTAGACGGGATCAATCAACCACCAGGACGCAGAAAATGCAGCAAACTCTTGTCCTTCAATTTGCTCTTGAACCACATGGAATATTACCAATTCTCAGTTGCCCATACTCAGTCCACTCCCTAGAGTTCTAAAGCGTACAGACACAGCTGTTGATTAAACTATCACAAGATTCAAAATTTAGTCCATTCGTTGAAAAAAAAAAAAAAAAATCACGCAACTCATTTGCCAAAAATATCGGCCAACATCTAATGCAATAAGTAGCTCCTTGATTGCATTGCGGGACTTGCACTTCTGATCATTGCATTCCACTACTACCATGTCTCGATAAACACACATTCATGCAGTACGTAACTAGTTTCCCTCAAGCTAGTCGAAGAAGTGAACAATTTCACAAAAATAAGTACTTCACCTGGTAATGAGAAAGCAATATGGAACCTTTTCTCTGATCATTTACCTCGGTAACTATTAAAACTTCAAAAAAAAAAAAAAAAAAAAGGATCAAAACCACGAGTTATTGAGCAAAATAAACCTTCTGTGCCACTCGTCTCTAGAATTGAAAGTGGCTTGAAGCCTCTTGGGGAGTTTATCCCACAAGCACTCTTCTTTAATTGCTTTAACTATCAACTGTTCCTCAATTGTCGCCGGCAGACGCTGCATTTTCACTTCTCTGATTAAGTAATTGATCAAACACTGATAACTGAGCTCCTTTTCAAACCTGGAAATAACGAAACAAAAATCACAATCATACGCAATCCAATATCTCGAACATTGTAAACTTGCACAAGACAATGGCAAAGAATAGATCACGACAGAATCGATCAGAATGCGAAATGGGAAGAAATTTCACCTGAGCTCCAAATTTTGGTGGATCGGAGCTAGGGTTTGGAGGTAAAAGGTTCAAGCATTTCGTGATTTAAGATCTGGAAGTTAAATGAGGAGTAGGAAATGAAGAGATTGAATTGAATTAATTTGGCTGGAATTTTGAGAATAGTAGTCTATTATGAGTAGTACTACTAAATACTTTTCCTGGTTAGTTGTTTGTTTGTCTATTAAACAGCAGGGGTGGGTTTGAATTGAATAAGTGAGCTGTGGAGCCACCATGCTTTTTACTACTGTCAGAATCCCTTACCCTTACGGCCTTACTCTTACCCTAGTGGCGTGATTTGATTTTCGTGTCCTTTCTGAATTTAGTAATTGCCCAATTTGGCCAAGAAATCAGAAATGGTACTAGTACTTTTTTTTTTGTAACGACATTTTTATACCATTTCCTATAATTACGAAAAACTAGTTAGGAGCATCACATAACAAGTAGCAAGTATATATCTTTTGGAATGCCTAAATTTACTCTAATGTTGACTTCGCTTGCTCCACTTTACGTGCATTTTTAGGCCAAAAATAGAGCGAAAAATGTCCGTTTGGATCGGTCATTTTTTTAAAATAATTTTTTTAAATATAATATTACAGTAATACATAATAATTCAAAATACATTTTATCTATACAATATATCAAATATTTCAAAAAAAATTCATATATACTGTTATAGTAAAATTTTTCAAAAATATCTCCAAAAACAGCTTATCCAAACAGAGCCGATTCTTTTGGAATAAGATTTTTATAAAACATATATATATGATTCTAATTGGAAAGGAACGAGATTTTAAAAGTGAGGAAAAAAAAAAGAAAATTTGAACTTAAAACCTCTTAAATTTCAGAATTTCAAACTTTAGTTATCCTTACTTATACGTAATAAAAAATCATTTAAGAAATAAAAGAGCACAAAACAATATGTAAATTTGTATTAATCATCAAATATTGAAATGTGCGAATGTAATGGTACTAATACTTTATATAAGGTATACAGATATTAAAAAAGAATCAAAAGGGTTCCTTTTAAAAATTCAAGATACTTATGGTACATGCATCTCAACATTTTATTTGTGTCCTAAAATTTACTTTACCTAATATAGAACATTGGTCACGCATGTATTCAATTCATGAGAAGTCTCTCATTTCTCCTCCTTCCCGCTCTCTTGTAAGGTCTTGAACCAAAAGAACTTACCATTTTTGTGGCCATAGATGCAAATAAATTGGAAGAAGAATTGCCCATTTTGCCGGGAGTTCCTAAAAACGAAATACCCATAGCTTGTGGGGCAAGAGTGCAGAAAGCAATATGTATTTTACGTATATAAACCACGTAAATCAAGTTGCCGCCGGCGCGCTTTGGTCTACCAAGTTTAGGGCACTTGCTAACGGTCAACTCGCGCTTCACTTCAACGCCGCCGCCACCTGTTCCCTGTCCGCCGCTCAATTCCGTCAGCTGAATTTCCTCCTGCGTTTTCATATCTCACAAGAAACTAAGCTATTTCTCCTTTTTGCGAGTAGCATTATGTAATCTATTACGTTCGGTAATTAGTTTTTTATCACAATTAAAATTTCAAGTTTACAACTCTTCTTCGTCGTTACTTTTTATTCGTGTGGTTTCTGTATAGATTGCTGCACACTGAAGAACAAGGAAGCTGGTGCTTTAATGGCTCTTAAGTTTGAGGTAACTCTTTTGTCTCTCACTTTTACATTTTAGTTCTACGAAGAAAAAAAAGATATAAAAGGAACGCCATACATTTTTTACGAATTTTTGTCTAATTTTCGGAAATCCATTACATAAATTCGAAGTGTATGTTGTATTATTTGAAAGTAGCTCTTATCCTGGTAATTTAGCACGTTATCTAATCCGACATTATATGTGAATCAGATAACAATGTAGTTGGTATTTGGTTGTTTCTTTTCTTCTGGGGTATACTTCGCTAGCTCATTTAGTTCTTTTGAATATTTTCTTTCGTAATATACTTTTTGTTTTCCAGTTGTTTCTATGACTTGTTAAACTCTGCCAATCAGAATGGCGTGGTTTTCAGCTTGTTCTATACCGGCTGTGCCTCTTTTTCTTCAGGTACATAAGCATATTTAGACTATAAGAGGGCCTTTCTTATGGAAAATACATCTAGATTAAGAGGCGTCAGGTGGAAGATACTGGTAGAAGATCAAAACTGTTTGTGCTAAAAAGCCAAATTATAAGTTTCTATCTACTTGCTGGATAGTGGCTTGTTACTTGAAAAATGATCCAAACAGCATCTTTAGTGATCTTGGTTGTCATCTTTGCTTGATGGTTAGATGGAGATGCATTACAGATAGGTGTTATCGATCTCCTGAATTTTTTTTCCCTTTTGGTGTATATAGTTCTTTTATTATTGTTATTATTTTTTGGGCTTGATTATGGAGCTGTGCATCTGCACTTTTTTTCTTTCTAATCAGGTACTTGGAAGGTTTAATCGTGCCCGTGCAGCTCAACTCACTCTCCCTCACTATCTGTGCCAGACACCTTTGTTTATGCCAGTGGGTACCCAAGGTTCGACTTTGGGGTGATCATACTATTGTCTTCTATTTTAAAATCATGTTGATAGTACCTCTAGACCTATACCTCAAACTTTTGCAACACACATCTCTCTCTCTCTCATGCATGCGCACACACTCAAGCGTGCAAGTCTAAGAAATTATTTTCTGAAATTTATGGTTGAAAAGGCTAAAGGATCCATTTGTCAATACCTGCATTGCATTTCAACTTGCAGCATCAAAGTTCTAGTACAAATAATACGGAGAAGTGAACAGCATATATCTTATAGCACTTGCATTTTCCAAATCTGTGTTTTATACAGTTACGCCGATATGAATGAGTTAGCTTCTTGTCCTAGTCAACTTTCTTCAATTGAAACTTTATTTTATGCTAACAAGAGGAAGCTGCTGGTTGATTGATGTAAGAAATGGAGTTTTCACGTTTATAGGAACTATAAAAGGTTTAACGAAGAATCAGCTGGAGGAAATTGGTTGTCAAATTATACTTGGGAACACATATCATCTAGCTTTACGTCCGACTTCTGAGCTCATTGATGAGTTGGGCGGTCTCCACAAATTCATGAACTGGCCAAGGGCACTGCTTACAGACTCTGGTGGTTTCCAAATGGTAGTCTCAGTCTCAGTCTTAGTATCTCTTTCTCATATGCATGTATGGGCATTTATTTGGCCTGTTCTGCTGACTTGCAATTATTGTAGTTTGTCAGTGTTATCATGGCATTCCTAGCTTTTCTGAATTTGGCTTGCTTTTGCACATTCCTTATGTATGATCTGAATATATTTGCTTTTGGAGCAATGCATGCATAGTGCATGATCTGAGTATGTTTGATGCACTATCATCAGAAAGGCAAAATTATTTCTGGTGTCTGCTGGTCTTTCTAGGATGTATGACTAACCATCCTTATGTGGTGAATGAACTAATGATAGCATTGTTTTCAGGTATCCTTATTGCATTTGGCTGACATTACAGAAAAGGGTGTCACATTTCAGGTAAATCTTGTTGCTTCCCTATTTCAATAATGATTCATGATGAACCAGAGATTCCAACAGGGTTCGATTGTAGCATTTGATTTTTTCCTGTTTTCTGTAACACTAGTTTTCACTGCCTTTTGTGTTAACATACCAGGAGCCTATTCATGTGAACTATGTATGTAAAATCTTCTCATATATTTTCTTTTTATTGATTTTCCATGTTTCACTGCCATACTCATGTGCTAGAGTCAGTCATTCTGAAGTAAATTGATTTCCTAACCAATGTTGTTGTGTATAGCCTATTCCCTTCAAAACTTCAATTAACCATCCCTGCCTGCAATTTATTCTTCCTACAAGTGCAGTTTGTTATTTCTTATTTGACTGCTTTGAGAGATCTCCCTGCTTGTTAAGTGGTGTCTCATTTTCTCCCTCCTGCTTGTTGCAGTCACCTGTCGATGGGAAACCGATGCTTCTTACACCCGAAGAATCAATACAAATTCAAGTAGGTCCACTTTTTCTTCTTCTGGCTCATTATGTAGCAGGTTATGCTCACTTAATATGTGATGCTTGATACCTATGAACTGTTAATATATTGTTAAGGAAGTTCCCTTATTGGTAACGAGGACTTGCAGGAGAAGCAAGTTTGGCATGCATCCTATCTTGTTGTGTGCTGTACAAAGTTATAAATGCTTGCACTTTTTGCATTAAGACATGAAATTTGATTAGACTACTGAATCCAGTTTTTGGGTGGACTGATTTACTTAGATTTAATAGCACGCACAATAAATGTTTGAGCTCTTAACAGCTTTTCTGTTCTAGATTTATAGGACGATCAATTCCTGGTACATGCAATAGTAGCACATGAGCTTCTTTCTGCATGTGCAATATCATTGCAGGATGGTACTAGTTTCTACTTATTGCTTATGGATTTATGTGAGGAATTGTAGTTGTAATTTCCTGCTGTTGGACTTTTAGGAGTTGATTTGTTTCATGCAGTTGGGTGGCCCTTAGGCTACTGCTAATTCATTGTACTGTGTTTTGCATACAACTGATTGCAGAACAGAATTGGAGCAGATATTATCATGGCCCTCGATGATGTTGTGCGAACCACTATCACAGGGCCTCGAATTGAAGAAGCAATGTACCGCACTCTTCGTTGGATAGACAGGTGCATAGCAGGTAAATATGCTTGACAGCATATGATGAGCCTATTCTACTTACGCATAGCCTTTGTCAATATAAGTTGTATGGTCTAAGTAGCTAAAATATTATTGGTTTTCCTGCAAGCTTAGAAATTATGTCAAATTGTGGCGGACAAGCTGATTGTGAATGTCAAGTTCATCTACATACCTTTTATCTGTTGGCTAGGCTAATCAACATTTTTGAATTTGAATTCTGCATGTTTTTACCAATCAATTTGATTATGTAGTTTTTCTTGACTAACGTTTCCAATATTTATGTTTTTCCTCTATCATCTCCTGTACCACATTCAGATGTTACAAACAATATGTTTGCAAGAAGGTGAAGGGGGAAGTATAAAAAATAGCTAGACATTTGCTTTGTCGTTGTCAAGTGTGTTTGTCAAGAATTTTAATTTTGTTCAAGCTCAGACTAATACAATGTGGTCAATTGACAGCTCACAAGAGGCCAAATGAACAAAATTTATTTGGGATAGTTCAGGGTGGTTTAGATCCAGTATTAAGGTGACTTGAAGTTTAATCAGTAACAGTTTTGCAAGATTTCGATTTTTTCAGTTGTCATATGATTTTAGCCTAATCTAATCTTGAGCTTTCTGGATAACTTTGTTTGTGTCAGGGATATATGTGTCAGAGGTTTGGTTGAACGTAATCTGCCTGGGTATGTAAGCACCTTTTTTTTGTATTCATTACTTATCTAGAGGTCTCTTCATTTTACTAAAAATGTAACTAATGGTAGCCTTCTGTATTTGGCAACCTATTGAAAATGCTACTTTTTCTCAGCAAAACTTGCATATTAGGTTGGTTAGTTCTGATCAGAAATTTACAGAGTTTCTTTTTTCTTTTTCAGTGACCATCATCATTTTAGGTGAATCTATTTTTGTTTCCCCCTTTCATTTATTCTGTCATGCTGCAAGTTTGTATCTTAGGCTCCCTTTCAACATGGTCACAATATCTTCTGAAACAATTGTTGTCTTTGCAACTATATCTAACTAAAGAAGTTGGAATTCAATGGCCGAGTGGTTGAAATAACTTCACTTAATTCTGTCACAGCTATGCTATTGGTGGTCTTGCAGGCGGTGAAGATAAAGATTCATTTTGGCGTGTTGTTGCTCAATGTACTGCTGCATTGCCTGAGGATAAGCCACGATATGTCATGGTAAAATTAGATTTCGCAATGTAACTCATCCAGAGATGATTTTTGTTTTACCACTTTAATTTCGTTGTGAACTAAATCTGGTTTACTTTTTTCCCACAGGGTGTTGGTTACCCTCTAGATATTGTTGTTTGTAGTGCTTTAGGTGCTGACATGTATGATTGCGTGTATCCCACTCGTACAGCTCGCTTTGGCACAGCTCTTGTTCCAGAGGTGATTGCTTCTTATCTCATTTAATTCTGCATTGGTACATATGATTGAAACAGAAAGTCCCACATATGCTTATTCAGGAGTCTGTAGCTTTGTGTGGATAAAAAATTTCTTCTTTTTCTTTTCAGCAGATTTGTCATAGTGTTGCTACTTTTTGCATTATTCTTTGTCACTGATAAGCAGCTTTGGTGCTATTCCTTCGTGAGCATGTGTTCTTTTGACCTTTATGTGAACTCTGTGCAGTTTTGTATTATCTTTTTGTCACTGACAAGAAGCTTTGGTGTCTCTATGCCTTTGTGAGCATATGTTCTTTTGACCCTAACGTCAACTCCTTTATACAAGAACAAGTCAATTTCAAACAGTTTATCAAGTTAAAAGAAGTATTCGCTCTTACTTAAGCTTGGCACTTACTGTTTGAAAATTGCTTTTTTCTTTTTTCTCATATCGACTTCAGAATCTGGATAGTTCTGGTTTCATTTTTATCTAATTTGTCTTATTAATCAGTAGTCAAATCTTCCAGGGATGAAGTTAGAATGTCTTTCCGGTCAAGAATGGCAGAGTTGATGAACTTGAAACATGTAATAGGACTCTTTTTTACTCCCATTAATTGGATATCCTAAACCATCATTAAATGTCTAGGTTTTCCTTTATGAGACTAGCAATTTACGATTTTCAGTTCCAAGTAAATAATTTCTGTTACCATGTGGCTTATGCAATTCCCTTGAGGATATATTTGAGATGCTTGGGTGTAATATGTTATCAAAGCCTTCCATTGGTATACTGATAATTGGACTTGAAGATGCTTTTCTTGAGAAGGAAATGTAGGTCATTCAAATATTTAACTGAACTAAGAAGTCTTTTGTTTTTGATTTTCTTTCTCGGCCTAACAAATTTGACAAGGTTGTGATAAAGTTGTGTTTCTCCTTCCTGCCTAACAAACGTGCTGTTATCTTCAATGGAGAAATGAGTCCCCTCCTCGATCTTTGGTACTGATTCTATATATTTCATTGATCCAGGGAGTTTTGAAACTGAAACACCAGGCAATGGCTAATGATATACGTCCTATTGATCCCATGTGCGAGTGTATGGTATGTCCAGGAGAGATGCTTAATTTCTTGCTTTTAGTTGTCTCTAATGTTGGTATTCTGTCTCTTTGCTGGAGGTCTGTAAAAATTACACAAGGGCTTACATTCATTGCCTAGTAACAAAAGATGCTATGGGATCTCAACTTCTTTCATATCACAATTTATATTACATGATGAAGGTATCAATTATAAGATAACTAAGTCATCTTATTTCCGTGAACAATCACTTTGAAGACTAAATAATGAAGTTTATTCGAATCTTGTAGCTTAGCAGAGATCTACACTCATCAATTGTTGAAGGACGGTTTCCAGAGTATGTGATCTTTTAATTTCTTAAACTATTTTACTTATTTTTATGGTCTCTTTTTTGGGGTATTCCTCAAAGATCAGGAAAAGACCTTGACTTGATGCATTCAGTTGGTTTTTTTCTTTTTTATTTGTTTTTCCCTTTATCCATCTCTTATAATACATTTACGCTGTTCCTTCGTTTTGCTAATGCAGGTTTGTTTGCAAGTTTCTGCAGACAATGGTACTTTAGTCTTCCACATTTACTATATTTTCTCCTGTCTCTTTCAAAAGCATTGTTCTTGGTACTGTGTCTCAGATAGAATTGTTAAGTCTGGCCAATAATGGGATTCGTGCTTAACAAAAAATATGGTACATTAGAAACAAAGGTTAAGGGACTGGAAGAGAACAGGATAATAAGTAATTTCATCAGTGACCTGAGAACCCTCTCTCATACTCATCTAGTGATTAAGTACTTAAACGTATATAACAGACAAATACGGATGCAATCCATTTACCCTTAAAAGTAACTTTCTGATACAATTATAATTTGGGGATACCAATGAACCAGATGCTCCTCATGATGATAGTTACGTCATAGTCACTACACCCAATTATTAGGAGGCCTGATATATGTATTTATTCACCACAATTATGTGAAGATTATTAGATCAATCTTTGGTCAAATAGAATTCAATAGCACCCTGGTGGATTATTTGAATTCTCGTCGTCTCTTTTTCGATTCTGCTACTTTGAGAATAACGTTGATCTACTATTTTGCTACTTATGACTTTAGCTAATTTACTTTGAGATTTGCACATTTTGTCCAATCCATAGGAGTGCTTTCAAATCTGCTTCTTGACACAGAGTTGTGTTTATAGTTCTTACATCTTTTAATTTGGTCATGTAGTTCCCAAAAGGTGATGTGCCTGAATGGGTTTGCAATGCCATGGAGGTTGCAGGAATCGACATTTCTTCATGTTGTCATGAGATGAAGGTTTGATGTTGATAAAAGCTCAACATTGTAGGAGTACATATTCTACAGTTCAAGCAAATATAGCTGCTAAGACACATGCAAGTGATTATACGGTAGTTGATGCTGGAAAAAGCTCAAAAATTTTGGTATTGACTTTTCATTGAGCACCTAACCGATACAGATGTTAGATACATGCTCGTGACAGTACGGTGGAAACAAATTTCTGGCCAATACGCTCCTGCACTGTGATGTACTGCTGAATGCAGGAGCATCTGTCTCTAATTGATCTGAGCAGACAAATGGTGGATGGTATATACTCCCTTGGAGCAAATGAATTGATAAATTTTGATCCTCAATTCTATACAGCTTCGAGCATAGATTTTTGTGCTTTCGAAGAGTGTGTCCTAGTTTACTGCATTCGTGGTCATTCTTCTGTGCATGGTGCTGAAACACACTGCACTTTTTGTGGGAAAGAGTCAACTAGAAAAAAAAAATATTGAGAATGCATATGTTTGTAAGTTATGCATGCAAGGATGGGTCGCTAAACTTGATTTGATGGGAAAAATCTGCACAGGAAGTCAAAATTTATTTCAGTTAATTTGAACTCCGGCATTAATTTCTGAAATTTAGGTAAGGACATTTAACTAAAGAGGATTTATTCTAATAGTTAAGGTTCAAAATTCCAGAATCCAGAGATTTTAGATTCAAATATTCCTTCCTCTCTTGCTTCTTAAATTTCATCTCTTCCTTCCTCTAGTAGAACACAAAATGAAAAGAGAAAAGGTAAGCATGCATAGTTTTTTGTAAGTCAAACACATTTCTTTGAGGACAGATTAATAAAAGTCTAGTTTATCAGAACCTTTAATTGGGAGCCTGATAAAAGTCTACTTTATCAGAACCATTTAGACCCTTTTTTTTTTTTTGGTAAGTTAATTGTGAAACACCCAACATTTTCAATCAGTAGAGGAGTCCAAACGCATTGAACCACAAAGCTTTGCAGCTACAAGTTGACGACATATCCCATCACTTTCTTCGTCCTTCAGACCACTTAACTTTGTTGGGATGATATATGAAAGCATGCTATCTTTTCCATATACAATTGATAATTCAAATAGTGTTTCGTTGCTTGTGGGATTTTTACTGGTTAAATTTAGAACCCAGCTGATACCCTTAAAAGAAAAAGGAATTGACATATATAGATATCAAACATCGCTTCTTACTGCAAAATTTGCCAAATTGATGATAGATATGCGAACATATTACTATCAGTACATGCATCGTTGTCGTTTCCCTCTTCACTTCCAATTTCTCTCTCAAGTCAACCACTTTGTTGTCCATAGCCATACCTACAATATATATAATGCGTAACTAAAAGATAGAAATTTAGCACTTGCTTCATATTGAAGCACCAGTTTTCCTGTTATGATCGACCTAATCTGTCATGCACCGAGCATTCATGTCTAATTGATTGACAATTGCCTGAATTCAGTATAGACTGTGTGGATTTAACCCAATTATATACGAATTGCATCATGACCTAGAAAAATTCTACAATGCAAAATGAACTTATTAGTTGGATTTCCCTTCTGAAATCTGGAGAACCGACATGGTAGATTTGCGACGGAGAAATGTGCAGTACTGCGTTTTAAGCCTCCTAAATGGACGGAACTTTCACTGAAGAAGTTAAATTCGATTATGCTCAAATCCTTTGATCTGAAGGGTTTCAATTCATTGTCAATTTCTCATGTATCAATACAGTGAAGTCACAAACCGACCGAAAAGAGATTGGATACAAATTTTTTTTTTTTCCCTATATTATTTTGCTTGTTTCATAATCATGTTTCGAACTATATTTGTATATTTCGAACTATTTTTTTATCTCATATACATGACAACAGGAAAAGTATTAGTATAGTAATTATTTCAAATAATACTTCGTCTAAACACATATAGAAAACTAGTGCAGATGAACCCCATCTGTGTAATTATTCCAGACCTGTAAGGCACAACCAAAGAAAAAGTCTATGCTTGCACCAATTTCATGGCTAATCAAAATTTTGAAAGAATCCGGTTGTGGTCAATCGTCAGCATTTAAGATGCATTGATTTCCTAATTTTCAATCGTATTCAGGACCATGCAAATAAGTTAGCACTAAATTGCAAGGAAAGGGAAGAAAAACCGGCTCCTTGCTGTCTAGATTCTTATGGTTTCTGGACCATTAATGCTGCAGCATTAATCAGTTGAATCCCCAACTATGTTGTTGAAGTTCATGCATGTCTTCCTTTCTCTAGCAAATTTCATCTCTCCCTCACGCAAAGAACCATTTTTGGTCAGTTCAACTGGGGTGGTGTAACGATTTTGGAAGCAGAATTTGAAGAAAGTCTCATCAGCAGAAGTCTTCCATGAAGAGAAAAGGAGGTGCAAGAATTAATACGGATAGTCAAGGGTTAGGTAACGATCCTGTCACCTAATATTCACAGCCATGGGAACGAAAGTGAAATCTTTTCTTGCTCTCCTTTTTCATTTCATTTCTTTTCTCTTTTATATTTTGGTCGGCAATGGAAAAGCAAAGTGAACTCTGACATGAGGCCATACATGTTGAGTGAAGGATATGAGACAAGGAGCAAAAGGATGGCAGAAACTTTAAACTGTTTTACCATGCAAGAAAAATGTGTGTGTAATCCACTCAACATGATTCACGGGTTACCACACACAAGACTTCTTCGGCTGATCTTTTGCCTTTTGAACGAGAATTCCAGTTCTTGAGAATTTAGGACTTTCTAATGTTCACACACACACACACACACACAAACAAGATGACCAAGTAGCAAACAGATAATAAAAAATTATGCAGGATATATAAGGTAAGAATGAACCATGAATAGCACTGCTGTGTTAGTAATCCAATCTGGCCCTGATCAATCATAGAGCAATGAATTAGTAGTCGACAAAAAATTGAAGGCGCAATTAGACGTCTCTTGGTAAGAAGGATATACAGATATCCTTAAACATCCAAAACCTACAATAGTTGTGCAATTGCTCGAAATGAATATGGACCCTTTAAAGTTGCTTCATTAGGCTCGTCACTGGAAACCCTATTCATTCTTCTTGAAACGTCAATTGCGTCACGCATCATGCATTTTCCAAAAGATGCGAACATCCAAGAATAAAAAAATTTGTGTTGGAGGAAAAGGATCCAAATCAACCGTTCAACTGTTGCAATGAACACTATAGAACTGGCTACTTAAAATTCAAAGATTCTAGTAGGCTTTCGATTGATTGTGACGTAAAGGATGCCATTGGGGTAATGTTTTATGGCCAAAAATCTGCTACAAAAGACTCTATCCAACTGGCAGCCATGAAAATATAAGCAAAATATACAAGAAAAGGGGGCACACCATGTGGTGCACTGCAGTGTGAGTGAAAGGTGGAAACATTGTGTAGAGAGAATAACACACCATGTGAGGTTGGTAGCAAAGTTCAGTTTTGGCAGATGGCTTATTGGCAAATAGCAAGTAATGTAGTTCTCTCTCTCTCTCTCTCTCTCTCTCTCTGTATTCTGCTCTACCAAGCCATGCATACAGCCTGGCTTCTGAACTCAACTGGTGTAAGGATTTCTATTGCAAATGTGAGCTTGGATTATGAATGAATGCATGATAGGAATCAGATGTGAACATGTTCTTAAAATCCCAATTATGCATTGACCAAACTGTCTATTATGGTGGCCTTTTAAGGCTACCTATTTTTGCAACTGACCATCAATTTTGTTATCCTTTTTCCTGCTAACTCAATGCGGTAAACTAGTTTTTTTTATTTATTTATACATCCATTTAATGTAATTTATTTGATGATGATTTTCCTTCACTAATATCATCCCATTCGCCACATGTTTAATTGGAAAGTGATGATCAAGAATGTATTGAAGAAAATCAGACACATATTGAAAGCTTATGGCAATTCTATGTTTCCTGTTTTTAATCATAAAAACTTCACCTTCATTTAATTGATTGATTATTTGGTTCTGCAGTACGTGATTAATCAAGGATCAAGCTTTACTCTCATCCCTGGTTGGAAAATTTCGTAAACAAAAGTTAAATTGCTGTCACGGAATTTGTATTTCTCTTCCTAGCCTCAAAATATAGTTCAAATAGTTCGATGCTTACTTTCAAAAAGGGGAAAAAACACGAAGACTTTGATGCTCGATTGCTTCTTTAGAATCCGAATAACAACAAAGAATAAAACACAGTAAATTATTTCCCCCTCAAAAAATGAGAAATGATATTCAAGGAAAGAAGAAAAATAATAATTTGGGTCATTTTGGAAAACAATTATTTGGAGCAAAATTTGATTGAGAATCTCTATACGTATTTTTCAATTAGAAAACTCATTCAAAACGTCTCTCACATTTCACTAAATGAATTTTTTCATTCTTCACTTTTGAAATATTAACTTTGCATCATTTTCAAATTCAATGTTACAAAATTTGATTCCAATCTAAGTTTCCGTTCACTTTTTAGTCTAAAACATACCATGTAACCAACATGCAAATCATTTTTTATGTATAAAAATGTCAGATCTCACTTTTTTAGTGGCAAAAATGAATAAAAATTGACCCAAATCCCACTTTTTTAGTAGAAAAAATGAATATGATTCAAGTCAAATCCTATATTTTTTTTAAGGGTAAAAATGAATATAAATCAAATTATTTCTTTAACTATAACTGAGATTTATTTTTTTTTCTCCTAAAAAATTGACTATGTATTGCTCACATGATGAATTTAGGGTAAAACATGGTAAAAAAAAATCTAAATTGTGACCAAATTTTATCAACTTAATTTTGTGAGAGACATAAATTTGTCATTTTAAAAGTGAAGGATAAAAAACTCCATTTGACGAAATATAAAAAATATTTTGAGTGATTTTTCCTTTTCAATTACCCTTTTTTAAAATCCTTTTAACCATTTTTTATCTCACATAATCACTCGTTAAAGCATTACAGTGAAACAAAAGTACCAAACAACGGTTGAATCCAAAAGGACAAATGACTCGTTTCGCATCAGATAAAAGGAGACACATAGCTGGTTAGCAACAACCACACTTTACTATTGTTCAGAGCCTTTAGACTTCTGAAAAGCATATCAAAATGCCTCGCCCTTTTCCTCTGTTCTATTGGGATTGATTGGCTAATCACGAACACCAATTTCTTCTCTTACTTTATAGGCCCTCTTGACCTATGTCCATACCTTAGAAAATCAGCTCTCAGTCCAGAAGCCTTCTAAGAATACTCAGGAAGATGCATCAATTTATGTCATGTACATGTGAACTATGAAGTTGACAATTCTGAGTTAGTCCTGCATTCTGAGTGCATTCCTTGGAGAACCAAAAGGAAGAAGCGTGGTTTTTTTCGTATTCTTTATTGAAGATTATCACTGACAGCAGCTATGAACAGGTTCAGTTGCTTTGATTCTTCAGGTAATTTTGCATTATGAATTCTATCAGTTACTGCAAAGTTTTCTGCTCTCCAACGGTGTTCCTCTTATGTTCCTCAATAATTTGGACTCCCAGCTTAGGAAAATCTTAAAAGAATAATCAGAAAGGAAACAGAAAACTAGAATTACAACGTTTTAATTTGCATGCTACTCACAGAATTATGGAAGCTAGAGTATTATTGTGCTTCAGCAGAAATTGGTAACTTTGTTTTCTTCTATAGTTTCTTGGCATGTTTTTCTGACCATCCACTGAGGAAACTTATTGACTGGATCATGCTTTGGTGAAAGTAGAGAACAATACAAGGGAAAATGTGGGCTACAGCAATGAGTTCCAGGCAATGCTAGATGGTTTAGATGATGAAGACAGCATAGAAGAATACAACTGCAGCAATGGGAAGAAAAAGAGATTAAGAATTGATCAAGTCCAAGCACTCGAGAGGATTTTTGAGGTTGATAACAAGCTTGACCCTGAGCGAAAAATAAAATTAGCCCAAGAATTAGGCCTCCAACCACGACAAGTTGCAATCTGGTTCCAAAACCGCCGCGCCCGATGGAAGACTAAGCAACTGGAGAGGGATTATCACCTTCTTAAGGCCAATTATGAAGCCCTTCAACTCAATTATAGTAAAGTTGAACAAGAGAAAGAAAGTTTAGTTGCCGAGGTATGTTCTGTACATTTAACATCTTTTTGTTAATCTTTTAGCAGAGGAGGGTGGGAAGGAAGAAACAGGAAGTAGATAAGGATGATGAGCAGAGAACAAAAGCCCTTTGAGTTTTAACTACTGGGCTATATTCGATTCTTGTTGGTATCACTATTTACTGTCTTGTGTTTTATCTTGCAGTTAAGGGGCCTAAGGGAAAAATTGGGAGAGGATAATACAGAAACCAATCATTCAATTGAAAAGGTGGCAACTTTACAGAGTTCCCCAAAAATGGCCTCAGAAAAGTGTAATGATTCTAGTGAATTCGGGCCAACACATGCAAATCATGAAGTCTACACAAACTTGCACTTGTCATCTGAGACTAAAAGGATTCTTGATTTGAAAGATGGCTTATCAGACAGTGACTCAAGTGGAGTCTTGAATGAAGATAGCAACAATCTGAATGTGCAGCCACTGGTATCAAAATTAAGTTCATGCAACCCTACATTCAATGGATTGGATCAGTATGCTTTCTCTCTATCTGCCCCAGTTTACCATCCTCATTTGTTGGATTCAAGGGTGAAGGATTACCAGCAGCAATTTATGAAAATGCAAGACCAAAATCATTCAAGTTATGCCGATGACTCGTGCAACATCTTTTCAGTTGATCAAGCACCACCCCTTTATTGGTACTTCTCTGATCCAAGAAACCAATGATCTTGATTACCATCCACCTAAAAGTTTGAACTATTAAGAAGCCAAGGAAAGAATTTTGTAGTGTAAAAGCTTACCTGTCTTTTGCATCATCAATGTAATAGTATATATACTGTATTCTACACGAAAGAATTTTTATTTCTGAACTAGATGAAGTTTCTTGAGGAAATTTATGGTATAAATTTGGCGGAAATGTCAAGTATCTCCTACTAATTAACAATCATGTCGGATATTAACTCGTAATATTTTCGTACAAGCAAGAGCGTCAGTGTTTAGCAGTGACACTGGATAAGGAGGTAGATGAATTCATGTCCTTGAACAATCATTGATTACCAATTGATCACTCTACGTGAAACCATGCACCTGTAGTATGTGAGTTTGACATCAACCTTGTAATGCACATTGATAAAGAAAAAGGCAAGACGAGGTAGCATAGCATCAAATCATCAACACAGGAGCCAGAGCAGTTTTACCTGTAAACCTCAAAAGATTCATGAAGGAAGAGAGTTCGAGTCCCACCTACCCCTCCATCCAGCTCCCCTTTCACCATGATGTTAACTTCAGTGAAGTTTTGCGCTATGGTATATCTGCCAGGGCAAGGGGAGCATCGATTTGGAGCAGGCGACGATCGAGATTTTGGGTACAGTAGTTGTACTTTTTTATAAGAAAATGATAATACATTCATATTGCTTTGTTATGCATGTGAATTTTGTTTGTGTATATGATTACGATACGAGTACAATCGTGTACAGTATACACCAAATGATGAAAGGAATATTACAAAATATACCAAATGCCAACCGTGCCCCAATCCCGGGGAACATGTACGATTAGTATCAAGGGCCAGTCTTGGCTGCAGGTCTGTATTCAAGGCTCGTGGGACTAATGCTTGCCAACTCTTAAGGCAAGTCATGCCCTAAAAGAAAATGAAAAAAGAGAAGAAAAGAAGAAAAAGGAACAAAAAATCAATTAGCATTGATCAGAACTTGATAAACGCGAAAGAATAGTTACCATGATCTCTATTATTATTCGCCTAATTACCAAAATGAGAATGGCTCTAGTCTTTCTGCTTGCATTTATTTATTTTTCCTACCAGATGATGATGCTGAAAACCAAAAAGGAGCCAGGGGACCCAAAGCCGAAGGGCCAAGGCCACTTTTTGTCCGTTCCAATTTCAATGGGAAAGGAAAGAAATGGTGGTGTCATGGCCACACTTGTTTGTTGCTTCATCCGGGTAGCCATCACTTTAATTAGATTACCATCCAAGAATGCCATCAAATTCAATGTTCTGCTTTTCAGATAACTCTAAATCCAGCGACAAAAGAGGCCCATGTATAAAGATTTGAGATTCCCTCTGTTTAAAACCTGCAAACCTGAGGCACCTGCGTCAAAACAAAGAAATGAATAGACTTTGCCTTGCAAGTACCATATACTCGCCAGTATTAGAGTGAAGTTCTATTATACTCCCGTGTCTAAACTGCCTCTTGGCCCCTCATGAAACCTGTGATCTTTGCGACAAAAATTCGAGTTCAATGAAGGGACTGAGGAGTTTGTTTTGTTTGCGCTCGGGTGTGATAAAAATTCGAGTTCATATGGTCCAGAAGAGCTGGCAACTTGGATCAGTGCAGTGGCGTGAGATAAATAGGGTAGGCTTAAAGTTTTGAAAATGGACAAAATAAAATAAAGCTTTTGAATCAGACTCCATTGATAACGAGGAAGGCAGAAAGAAAAGAGCTTGAAAATTGCAGAGAAGGAAAGTGGACAAGTAGTGAATCATCAAGAATACAAGGTCTGCTAACATTGCAGTGACAAATGACAACGCATGCAAGAAACATGGCCCTCATCAAAGATCAAACACAACTACTACTATCTATAGAATTCTCATTCTTGAAAATGAAGATCGGAGACATATGACAATCAACTTGGTTATTTGATCAAAGCAAGAGCATTGCACTCCCCGATTTAAAAATAGCATATGCTTTATTTTTCTTCACATAACATGTTAGAGTGTTAATTAGCTGCTTAGTGCTTTTGGGACGAAACAAAATTATTTAGATATTATCAATTGTGGTACTGATGACAATCCATCGATTCATATTCTTTCGAAAAATTTTACAGAAGGGATGTATAATGTCAAGAACGGAAAGTGGTGCATTGACCTATGGGCAAGGTTTCATCATTGGGCCATACTCTGAAGCAGGCCCTTCAGGACAGCCTAGACCTGGGGTGGGCTGATTTTGCATAAAGCAGACCAAAGCTTGAAGTTTGTTCGCTAATCCTATAGTTCAAAAGCCTCCTGTATTTGGGATAAAGCAAACTATAATATCCTTGCTGTGGATTATACTCTATTCTTTTGCCAAGCCCATAAAACTTTCGTTTGGTTTGGAAAAATCTATTGAAAACACGAGACTGTTTCCCATCGAGAGTTTGAAACTTTGGTGGAAAGGGATCATCTCCTATTGAAAAACCTTCGATAGCGTTTGGTTGCAAGGAAAGTAGAGGAAAAGTGAGGGAAAATAGAATTCTTGCATTTTTTTTTTTGTTTTGATTTGTTTGACAAAAAATATCATTCTTTTTCTCCTTTTCATCTTCATATCTTCTTCTCTTCATGGTATGACTTTGAATAAATTACTTAGATTTAATAGTATAAAAGTATATGCATTCAACTTTATTTTCATGTTAGTTTTTATTTATTTTTTTGAAATAATTATGCAATTAAATATGTTATTACATATTTTATGCTCCTTTTAGGTAATAATTTTAGCAAATGAATGTATTTTTATATTTCAATGCGCACTAGTACTTCGATAATATCTATCCAAGAAGTTTAAATAATTTTCCTGTAATATTCCTATCAACCAAATACAACAATTTAAATTTTCCTACACTATTTTCTTGTCTATCAAATACATATAGGAAATTTAGTTTCCTTTTCCTTTACATCACTTCACCTCACTTTTTTCACTTTTCCTGTTACGCACTTTCTTACACAATTTTCTTGTCAAACAAATGGAGCAATGTTGATGTCAAAAGAAAAAAAAGGAGGGGGGGGGTGGGGAGGTAGAAGAAGAAGAAGAATGTTCAGGATGAGATTTAATGACTAATATGTTCATAGTCTTGCTTTGAACCCAAAATACAGCATGTTAAGTAATTTCCCAGTAATTGTTATGGCTTTTCAAATAACTCAAGAGAAATTTTGGGAGTGTGACAAAAAGAGTTAAATAAGGGGAATTCTTGTTGCCCCTCTTTTTTAATGTTTCTCTCTCTGGAAATAAATGCACTATAACGGTACAAAATTAGCTCATAAGGTTAAATGGAAATGACATTTATTTACTGAAGTACAAATTGTGGCAAAATATATAACAAAAAGTTCCTACTGTACAAAGTTAAAAGATGAACTGAACTGTGGCAAAATATATAAAGTCCCTCATAACCATGAAAACTGACAAAAAATAATGATCAATAATCCGACAACAATTTTCCAACTCAACTGAAAATATAAAAAAGAAGAAAGTGGTCACACTTTGTATTTTTTCTCAACTCTCACTAATTTCTCATTAAAAAAAATCTCGCAAAATCTTCCCTTGTACTGTTAAACAAATATCACACTAGGAAGAAATAGAACGGGATCTCATTATATAGCTTTGACAATTGCAACATACACAGATGTTCTTGAAATTATGTTTAGAGCTTCAAAATGCAACCTTTTGTTTTATATTCAATTTTTCTGATCTTCCTTATTTCACATTTGCCCTTTTTTTTTTTTTTTTTTTTTTGTCTGATACGATAGACCTACACTACTCTATACTAAGGGGAAGGGGACCTGAACAGATTCAAGAACATTTTGAAAGGGATTGAACCACCACCGGGTCAAATGAGTACGCAGGAAACCTGGATTTCTGGAATGTAGGCAAGGAGATTTGATCCATTGATCTTCATCTAAGTAGAGCTTTTAAAACTCTCTTGGTGGCCTTATTTCACATTTGTCACTAATGAAGATTTAATCAAATTGATGATATTTTATATTAAGAAAAACAGTTTGTCTAACGTGTGCTATCCGTTGAGGTATATTTCAGGTACTATATTTTTTGAAATATAAGATTAATTAAAAAAAATAAATAAATACAAGAGAAAATAGATAAGATTAAATAGAAAAACTATATAAATGCAAAAGAGAATAATCATTATTAGTAAGTATATATATATATATATATATATATATGATAGGTTAAATGAATACTAGGGGTGTTAACTGGGCACCTGTTAGAAAAATCTAAGAAAAAATGGTGGAATAGAAACAGGAGTCGTGGGAGCTTGGTCTTTGTTAAGTTCCTATTCAGCTAATCGTCTAGATTAAGTTGTACATGCGTGGTCGTGTACATTTCCACGCCGCCCCACACAGAAAAAGTGAAAAACAAATCCGTGCGTAGCACCCAAAACTTTCTACTTTCCTCGCTCAAAATGAGGAAATCCGAAATCATCTCAGCCACCGACTCAACTTGTGCGACGGCCCCACTGCCAACTTCTTTTCCCCATCCAACCGTGCATTTAGTCCTCACCCGACTTTTCAAACCTACACGACCCGTCAAAAGAAGCTGTGTTGTGACTTGTGAAACACCAGCGAACCTCCCATGAAATCTCAAGGAAATAACACCATGCAAAAATCAACGAGAAGGAGAATACCAAAGACCATCTATAAATATACATGACCTATCTTCTATGACCAACCAAAAAAATCCCACATTTTTGCCATGGAATTCAGGAGGCCGAGGCATCAACAAACTGCTAGATCAACGAGGCCAAATGGGATGTGCAACAAGCATCCAAAACATCAACAATCACCAGGTGTTTGCTCAATTTGTTTGACTGAAAAGCTCTCGCAATTATCCTCAAGTTCATCACGTAGTAACACTACTGCTACCACGGTTGATTCTTCTTGTTCCTCTTCTTCCTTGTCATCCTTGTCGTCGTCTCATTATTCCGCTAGCGCTTCTTCTTGTTCTTCCCCCGTGCATAGCCATCATTATCGAATGACCTCGGATGGAAGAGGGCTGTCCTCCTTGAGTTTTTTTAGAAGTGGTAGAAATGTGCTCACCAAGAGTAGATCAGTGGCTTTTATCACAAGAAGGAGAGATGCAGGCGAGGTTATTGCGATGGATCATGGCAAGAAAAAGAGTGGCTTTTGGTCGAAATTGCTACGGCCAAGAAGCAAG